ACCCGAAATCAAAGAAATCTAACACGTATTTTATGTAAATTAGCTGGTCAAGCAATGATCTTCTTGCAGTCAGTGCATAAATAGCTTGGATATTGTTGTTAATATGGGGTGTAATCGCCTTTAACTGATAGACAGGCTCGGCGACCCATACTAATAATTAGGGAGTTTATCAGATCCTATGGAATCAACGCCCACTCTTGTGTTAAGGCTGTTTCTAGCTCATGAGGTTTGTAGGAGGGGGTTGGATAGATGAGATCCGCCGTCGTAGATTGTCCCATACATGCTCAATGGAATTTAGGTCTGGAGATCGAGCTGGCCAATTCATCCGAGCAATTGCATGGTTTTGGAGAAAAGTGTCGACCACACCAGCCCTATGTGGACGGGCATTATCATCCATTAGAAGAAAGTTTTCTCCCATTTCCAATGCTTGAGGCATCACATATTCTGCCAAGATCTCGTCTCGATACCTCTGTCCATTCGGGGTTGCTTGCCGAAAAATATGGAGTGCTGTGCGGCCGTTCAAGAAGATTCCAACCCAGATCATAAAACCTTGACTTCTGTATGGATCCCTTTCAATCATATTCCAGGGATTATTTCTGGTTCCTACCTCTCTCCAGACAAAGACGCGACGAGAATCGCTGTTTAGAGAGAATCTGGATTCATCAGTGAACATTACACGTCTCCATTCATCTGAATTCCAGACGACATGTTGTCTGTAACAAGGGTTACTTTCGCTCTTTTGAGATGGTGTCGTTGGCACACAAATTATGGGTCGTCGAGCATAGAGGCCCACATGTGAAGCCTTCTGCGTATTGTATCAGTTGAAATAGGAGAACACTTTCTTCTAATGGATGATAATGCTTGTCCACATAGGGCTGGTATGGCCAACACCTTTCTCCAAAACCATGCAATTGCTCGGATGAATTGGACAGCTCGATCTCCAGACTTAAATCCCATTGAGCATGTATGGGACAATCCAGGACGGCGGATCTCATCCCTCCAACCCCCTCCTAGAAACACTCATGAGCTAGAAACAGCCTTAACACAAGAGTGGGCGTTGATTCCACAGGAGTTGATAAACTCCCTAATTCTTAGTATGGGTCGCCGAGCCTGTCTATCAGTTAAAGGCGATCACACCCCATATTAACAACAATATCCAAGCTATTTATGCACTGACTGCAAGAAGATCATTGCTTGACCAGCTAATTTGCATAAAATACGTGTTAGATTTCTTTTATTTCGGGTATTTTAATCAATAATGGATTAATAAATCTGTTTATAAAATTTCATTAATAAATGTTCAATAAAATTTGAGATAAATGAAAAAATGTGTTAATCCTTTAATTTTGTAGTTTAAATTACTTAATACTATCTATGTATATTTAAAATATATATATAAAATGTGTGTGTTTATTACGCATACTTTTTCACAATATTTGAAATAGCTTGACGAAATTTTAAAAGGATATAAAGTTAATTCTAGAAGTCTTTTATATGCAATGCAAATTAGTAATATAAAAGGAAATTGCATATTTTCAAGTCATAACATGTTTGATATTTTATTAATGAAACTATTTCACGGGTAAAACTACCTAGTTAACAAAAAGTGGGTTTGTTTGTTCCGCCTATGTTTCCACAAGATTTGACCCAGTTTTCAGGGGAAATAGAGTGAGAGAAACCACTTTCATATTTCGAGTAGACTCCATAATGTATCCTAGCTTGCCAAATAACGGAATAAATTTAAAGTTGGCAGAAATTTCATATATAGGGAAGAAATAAACATTATAAAACATATTTTAAGATATTTCCACGTGGAAAATTAAGGAGAACAAACTTCTGGATGAGACAACAATTTATTTAAGGCAAGAACAAACTATGAATGATAAACAAAAGATAAGCAAAGAGGGAAGTGTACAGAGTATCAAAATATAAACATAAAAAAAGATACTCTGCTAATAAAATCTAATAAAACAATAAATACTTTGTTACAATATTTAAACTATTTTGACGTGTTTGATTATTTTCTCTAATAAAACCATTTTCTAGTACTCTTATAGCAATGATAAATTAATGGGAGGGCCTGACTCATCAATGGTAAACCCTATGTGTGAAAGAAACATTCGAGTCTTAATGTTTTCGTTTGCTATATATATTCTAATGATTTATAATTATACTTTTAATAAGTACAATTATTTGTGAAGCCATGTGATGCTTCTGATGTACATAGACAAATTCAGAAGTCATGACTATCGCCGATGGTGATAGGTGGAATGAGAATTTTATATATGTATATAGTAGCACTTATTGTCAAAAGATCATAAAGAAAACTAAATTAACATGTCAAAGCACGCAGAACTACCTTCAAGAAGTGAAGGAGTGTTGATAATTCCTTATTAAAAGATCCAATTTCTTAGGCAGGACAAATCCCTGTTGTTGTTGCTCATTCCTACCTGGCACCTCCATGTGACAGAGGGGACAATGAAATACCTAAGCTCGGCCTGTGGTAGTGGACATGTCTCTAACTGCCTTCTTTTATGAAGGAATTCTCTATTGGAGTTGGAAATAGCTTCTAAAAGTACCCAGCATTAGGCCAATGTTATATGGATACGTTAAGCAAGGGAAACATTCGTTCTGTTTTTTTTTTTTCGTGAAATTGTCAGTAAATAGACAATTAGAAGGAATCTAATTAAGAGAATAAACAAGTCTTAGAATATATTCACTTTAAATGGGGGGAAGAAGTCCGACCACACTTCACTGCGGTCTCCCCTGGACCCTTGGAATATTTGACCAAATTCTGGTGCAACGGCACCCATTTTCCAATTAAGATAGAGTACATTGCGATTGCTGTGATAGAAATGCATGGAGACATCTCTTCATTGGACACGTCAATAACAACAACAAGTTTATAAATTTAATTGCCATCTATCAATAAAATTTGTAACAATTATTTTTTCTAACAATGGGTCTCTTTTTTAATATTATCATCAAATATTATCTCTATAAACCTTTCTACAATGATATAAGTTATTGAATGAGAGGGCTTGACTCATTAGTAGTGAACCCTCTCAGCGGTTTCGTCAAATTAATCTCCACACCGCTCTACTATTGTTATGGATTGGTTTTGTTATATAAACTGAATTTTTACTATAGAAGACAGCTTAGGGGTGTTTAGGAAATCTATGGACATAAGCTTATAGGTCTGTAGAGATGCATACATATAAGTACAAGGAATTGTATGGAGCAATGCTCTTCCGCAAATATGGTTTCAAAGCAAATCTATATTAGCAAACTACATTTATAAATTCAATAGCCACCTATCGATAAAATTTGTAACAAATAAAATTTTTCTGGAAATATGTTGTAGTAAGGTCTGTAGAGAGAAATAAAATATTTGAAGATATTATTTTTTTAAAAAGCAACGGCACCCATTTTCCAATGAAGATAGAGGACATTGCGATTGCTTTGATAGAGATGCATGGAAACATCTCTTCATTGGACACAATATAAGACACTGGTATATAAGATTGTATAATAGATGTTTTTGACACGTTATATTGTAATAATTAGGCATGTTAATCGAGTTATAAATAGGAAGAAAGTGTTGGCGGGAAATCCCCCGGAATGTTTGGCAAGCGGATTTCCGTCAAGTTGTGGCAGAGTTAATGCGTGGCGACAGATAATGAGGGGTGTCAAGGTTTGACTTCGCAACACGCTGACATTTCCTAGCGGTGAAGAATACCCACATTCTTCACCTATCTCTCGAGACTTTACGATAATTTTATTTTACACCTCAATTCTGTTATGTTTATAAAAGACGAATTTATACAAATAGTGAATGGAAGAGATATTGGGATAATCAAACACATTGAAGTCGGTGGACGAGTGGGTAAATCCCTCGATTCCCGACAGCCATGAACTGGGATCTAATCTCACATTGGACACTTCGTTTTAATATGTGAATAACCTTCCTATATTATTGTATCGGAGAATTTATTATTTTTATAGGATTTATTATTTTACACTAGTATTAACAGAGTGTCATTTCTCTATGTTTATATTTTACTACTCTGTAAACTTCCCTCATTCCTTATCTTTTGTTTATCATTCATAGTTTGTTATTCCTTAAATAAATTATTGTCTCATCCTGAAGATTTTGTCTTCCCTAATTCATTGTTGTAAATATCATAAACTAAGTTGCTCTTTTTGAGTGGTACCTAGTAAAGTTATTTTGGAACATACATCAGTGTTGAATTCTCCTAGCTGTTTGACCAGTTTCATCTTTTAGACTGATACACAACAGTTTGCTTATTAGCATTATCCTAAGTACACATGTTACAGACCATGACAATCATGGTGGTTAGTTAGCGACTGCCCTTTACTATAAATGTATCACATGTCTACACTGGTAGAAAGCTATTTGACTTTTCCACTTACAGGTATGCCCGAGTCACGTTTGGTTACTTGTATTCACTGGTATAGATGGGTGAGGTTTGTTTTGCTTTTTGTTTTTCCATTATAGTTATAGTCCCATCAGGATGTTTTGTTTGATAGCTTACGTTCTTAAAATGGCATTGTATCGGATGTAACATCTTCCTAAGAATCACGAAGATAGCCCAGCATCTTTTGAAAACCTTCCAAGAAATAAATTCACTTGGCGCTACCTCATGAATTGGACTTCCACTGACATTGTAAACAAAATAAAAAAGACTTAGGTAAGAAGGATAACTTTGGTAGTTGGCGACTTCTCTACGCTCCAGGAGCCTGGATTAACCGAATAAATGATAATCAATGAAAATTTTGCCGGGAGGAAATTGATCTATAAAAGAATAGGGTGCCTCTACCGTCAAAACTAGACACCATCTGGTTATTTTGACGGGAGAGGCACCCTATGATTTTATAATAATCATTAGAATTCTCTGATATTGTAACATAGCTAGAATTTGGTTAATATTCCTGTTGTGGTTATATTTAGTAAAGTTATATGGAGAATTGACTAGCTTACGGACATATACCACATTGAAAACACCGGTTCTCGTCCAATCACCGAAGTTAAGCAATGTCAGTCAGTACTTGGGAGGGTGAACACCTGGGAACACCGGGTGCTGTAGGCTATTACCTTTTTTCTATACTTACTGGGGCTCAAATATCATCCATTTTGGTTAGCAGCCCCGTAAATAAAGATATTTCCATGCAGAATTGACCACGCCTATTGCTACACAGCCTCGAGACAACAAACACAATGTCAGTTTAGGATATATTGCTCAGCACAACATATAACGCCATCTGTATGGTAATTGTGATATAATTTTTTACGTCATTTAATTACAGTAGACTCTCCTATAACGCGAGTTTTTACAACGCGATAAAAAAATTGCGACAAATTTATTTATACAACGCGAATTTTCGTATAACGCGTTATAAAATAAAACAATTTACCCTAACAACATTCGCGTTATATAAGTTTTATTTCGTACAACGCGAATTCCTATAACGCGATTTCATACAACACGGAAAACATTAATCGCGTTATAGGAGAGTTTACTGTATATCAGATATTTTTTTTACTACAATAACTAAACGGATATGCCCTATCTCTCCATTTCCTCTATAATCCCTGCCCAGAAGTCCTCCTCTACGTGGCGGGCGGGAGAAACAGCACAATAAGAGACTGCCCTGTAGGGTGAAGTACGGTGTCGTGAGCCCCGAGCCGCTACGGTAACTGTGGAGGCCTACAGAGAACTCTGAAATGTGGCTGACTAACGGGGCAATTGGACCCCTTTCCATGGAGCAACAAAACCAAACTACGAACAAGGCACTTTTGTTGGCTGGTATTGTGATCAGGGTGCACGGACCGATCTGATCTGCTCCATGGACAAGACACCACCACCTCAGTTGGCCGGTAATATGATCAGGGTGCACGGACCGATCTGCTCCATGAACAAAAAAACACCACCACCACCTCTATAGTCATTGAGGTCTTCTTCCCTTATAGTATTACTTCAAGAAAACCCTCGTTATATATATAACATTTATATTATGATGAATTAACGCGCCATCTGTTATAAAAATTCGAAACTATTATAGACATCTAAGATTCTTTTTTTAAAAATTAAAGAATTTCTACTGCGCTTACTGCATTCGAAAAATTAATGGGAGTGCCTGGCTCATCAGTGGTGAACCTTCCCAGCGGTTTCGCCAATTTAATATACCATACCGCTGTTATATTGTATTTTTTATCTTCCTTTTATAGTGATACTGATGCTAGACTCTTGGAATGGGTATTTTAGATGAAATAAGGACATAGGCTTTGAGGACAGTAGAATTACATATAATTATAAATATATTATATGATTCGATTTTTTCATTGCAGTAAGGGCAGTAGAAATTGTTTAATTTTCAAAAAGAATCATACGCGTCTATAATAGTTGCGAATTTTGATATATAACACTGTTGAACCCAAAGTATGTAAAGCTATATCAAGAACTCATTTGTATCAAAGGTAAACAAAATTAGATTGGATGGTTCGATAATATGAACATGTCCGTCCAAGTGAGAGAGGAGACATTCACGGACATCAAACCAAAATGTTAAACTTGCTTGAAATCTCTATTCATCTATTTTCAAAATTAAAATAACGATAAAAGATGGTAAAAAGCTTCTGAGGCACATGCATGTTATGGAATATGCAACTAGGATCTGGAGCTCATGTTGGAATAACCACAACCCCATAGAAAGCAATTAGACGGCATATATTATAGCAATTTTAGGTCTTATTGTTCTAAAATTAAATAAACTTCAGCCAGTAGTAAATCTTTCTATTATTTTTGTCAGAAAAGAATAAAATTTAAAGCATTTGGTAAAGCGTTTATTCCGAGGTTGTAAGGGCGTTCTCACGCGATTTTGAAAATTTTGTACAATATCTAAAGCATGAGTCAAACATATTTTGGTATATTCACATACATGTTTCTGTTTCTTGATCAGCTATTCAATAATGGTTAAACTATTTCTGTTGTAGATTAGGTATGGACTAGTTGAAGTTGCGGGAGGAAAATATTCCTTTACAAAAAGAAACCCAATTCCTGAGATTCCAAGATATAATGGTAACACATATTGATGATAAAAAAAAAAAGTATAAACAGAAGAAAATTCGCCAAGGGAAGAGCTTCTTTTTTATATATAACAGCAATACAAGCTTTCGAATTCAAGTTTCAGTAACGTAGTTATACCAGTCGAAAGGCTGTTGAGCCCGAAAGCTTGTATTGCCGTTATATATAAAAATGAACTCTTCGCTCTGAGAATTGTCTTTTGTTTATAGGTTTACCGAATGGATTTTAATATCAACAAAATAAAAAAGTTTATCATTGCAAGGCGTTTCTTCATTATACAAGGCTTTCGAGATCTACCTCTTCATCAAGTAGGATATACAAATCGTTATACCATAGGAAAGGTCTGATGAAGACTGAACCTAGCCGACACTTGAATGACAATGAAACTCTTCACAAAAGTGTTGCGTGTGTAACTTTTTTAGCGTTAGCTCTCTCTTTTGAGTAATTAGCTGATGAGGTCACCACTTCAACCTTAGAACTCCGTTTTGACATCCTTGGAAGGGCTGTTCAAAACCACAAACGCTATTTATTTTCATGGTTCTTCAGGATGCCAGAATGACCAGTTTTCTGGTCTTTGAGATACAGCTTTCACCACGCTGACGAGGGCCAACAGCCCGAAATGCATACGTGGTTAGCTTTTCTTGATTAATCAAGGATGGGTATTTGGCCACTTCTGTAATAATTAAAAAACAACGAAAAGTTGATATTTATTCCGACTGAAGGCACAAGCCATCAGCAACTTTCGCGATAAGGAGATTCCTTTTTCTTAATTTATTGACCTTATCTCAGTACAATTTCACATTTGTACTATTTTTTCACGCTATTTATTTTGTTGTTGTTAGTGTCCGTTAAGTTAGACGTTTGGTGACACTATGGACAAGTACTCTCCAATTTGATCTGTCATTTCACCATCATTTACAGCTCTAGTGACCTTCCAATAGCTTCCTTCACCCCTTATAACCAGCTCTTTGCAGGTCTTCCTTTCTTCCTTCAAATTTTTTCCAACATCAACATCTTTTATAAATAGAACCCAATAGCATAAGTCGGTGGATGAGAGGGTAACACGCTCGATTCCCGACAGTCATAAACCGGGATTGAATCCCGCGTTAAAAGTTTGTTTAATATGTGAATAACCTTCACACATATTATTCACTGTTTCAATTATCATGAACTAGGTTGCTCTTGCTGAGCGGTACCTATTAATGTGTTTTGAACCAGAACCCAATAGCAAAAATGTATTTCTCTGTGTGTACCATTCTCATTATTTATAGCCTCGCCTGGTTTCACTAAATGGCATCTAATGTATATAGAAGAATTTCTGGGGAATAATTTATAGTATCTCGATATACAAAATGAACTCCACAATTATTTCTATATTTTATATTCGGAAACTCAGATAAGAGAAGTTGTCACAACACTAGCTTAGCAAGTTTCACGACTTTCCCTCTTAGAAAATAACAGCTGTTGTACTGATTAGGGCTATAGTCTTCAACTATAATATCATCATATCTTTCCGATTGTTCCATAGACCGATGTTGTTATGGAGATACAGTTAAACCTGTCTATAGCGCTCCCTCTAAATAGCGCCTCCCTCTCTATAGCGCACGATTTTAAATACGTAGTACGATGCGATATTTACATTAAAAGTGACCTGTCTATAGCACCCCCTCTCTATAGCACCCTATTTTGGTGAGTCCCAAGAGGGGGCGCAAATGACAGGTTTAACTGTATATACATCTTTGTTGCTCTATATATATTGATAGGCATATATGATGGCGAAGCTACATTCTAAGATATGACGACAATGGCGGCTGTTATTACGTGCAACAATCTTCATTGTTGCTTTTTTTTACGATGCAAAAAGGATTTATTTTGCTATTTTTTAATTTAAAATATATTTGTTTAGCGTACAAATTGATTATTCGGGAAGTTAAATCCTCTGCAATACATATAAATAATAAGAAAAACGGCTTATAGGGTGAGTTTCTTGTTTTATTGTATATTCATCTCAAGCTTTCGGGTTTTGTAAACTTTTCTGTAGGAGTATTTTTGTCATATACTCCTGTCTATAGCGCCCCCTCTAAATAACGCCTCCCTCTCTATAGCGTCCGATTTTAAATACGTAGAACGATGCGATTGACATTAAAAGTGACCTGTCTATAGCATCCCCTCTCTATAGTACCCTATTTTGGTGAGTCCCAAGAAGCTGCGCTATAGACAGATTTAACTGTCACATATACTCCTTTAGAAAGGTTTGTGAAACCCGAAAGCCTGGGATGAATGAACAATAAAGTAAGAATCTCACTTTCGGAAGCCGTTTTTCTTGTTATTCAAATTGGTTATTATTACTATATATATTGAAGCGATGCAGCAAAGAAGTAGAAAAGAAGACGTGGGGAAGCCAAGAGAAGAGGTATGCAGAAGCTCCTTCAGGGAAGTGTGGATTGACAAAATTCCAGGGGAGGGGGTGGCAGACGGTCGGCAGTCCAGCTGGCGCCGCGGTGGGGAAGGGATCAGCCGAGTCCAGCTGGTGCCGCGGTGGAAGGAAGTCGGCCGGCCTGCCGGGAGATTGGTGTGTGCCGACCAGACATGGCAGTCTGGGGGAAGAAGTCTGTCTGGTGACAACGGGACCTGCAGCAAGGAGAACGGCGGTGGTGACAACAGACGCAGCAGGTGGGCACCGAACGTGTGGCCGTATGGACTGACCGGGAAGACGGTAGCGGAGAAGGATCCCTCTAGTGGAGGACATTGAAGGCAAGTTAATCTTCTACTGTATAGTTACTTATCTACTCTTTTAAGCTCTTGTAATAAATATACCGCACTAAGCTGTATCCTAAAGAATCAACATTGTCTTCTCAGTAAACCTTGAACGCAAACATCGACGGCTGAGAAGCGTCGTAACAATATTAAAGAGCACTGAGAGAGCTCCAATAAGAATAGAATTTAAAACGATAGTTATTATTATTCTGTTTTATTAGTAAAGTAAAAAACGTTCTGTAAATGCG